ATCTTAATTTTGATGCATTTGTGGTGATCATAAGATTGGCAAAATTGGACATTTTTCACAATATCGTCACTGCTATTAACAAATTAATACAGAGTTCAGATGAAAACACTGATTAAATAATAAAGATTTATGACAGAAGACTAGATTTTCAAAACAAGCATGCATTTATTTATCATATTTATTTGAACAAAAAAAAACATTGGTACAAGAGAGCACTAAATGCACACAATAGCACAATAACAATGAGGTTGTGAAGAGATAGAGAATGTTATAGTAAAAGAACGACAACGAACAGAAATTAATGTATGAGTAAGATAATAATAATAAAATATGGGAGAAACAGTTCAGTTGGCAAAAATATAACTAGAATCGGTTAATTCAATGTTGGTAATATATAAAAGAAAGATCGCATATAAGGATATAATATAGTAAGAAAGAATTAGTTCGCAGAAAAATATGAAGCGATTTTAACCTTATAGTTTAAGGGAAAACAGAGTGTATACATCTACGACATTGTGGTCCATGTCACACATTCTCCAACCATTGGTTACGATATTCACGCAAACCCCAACTAAGTATTCTGCATCTACAAACATGGTTCAGACCAGAAGTTAGTGACTTCTAGCACTGATGACACGTTTTGGTTTGACCGCCCCTGACTTTCTTCCAACCGTCTCCAACACTGGTCAGCATTGCGCATCGTACCACGTAGTCCAACCATCTCAGTCGGTGAAGATTTACAACCTCATTGACTGATTTATTGTTATTCCTTAATGCTCTGAATCTAACCTCACTATCACTTATCCAGTGATTCCAACAGATGCGAGCTATGTGATCAAATACTAGTAGCTTACGAGTATCTACTCTTAATGATCGTTTCGTAGCCGTAAAGTAGAACAGAACGAACTGCTGCGCAATACACTCGTCCCTTAATTGGTAGACGGATATCTTGCCTTCGCCATAGGTGACGTCAGTTGGCAGAAGCCAAATGAGCTTTTCGAATCCGTGCAGAGATTTCGTCAGACACCAACACACTAGGGTTGATCAGACTTCCAAGATAAGTGACGTGTCGACGCGTTCAAATAGTTTGCGCCTAATCCTTAGTTCAGGTGTTCACTCAAACCAGTCCTGAAGAATCAACTTGCATTTACATGGGGAGAAACGCATCCCAAATATCCTGGCGTTGTTGCTCAGTGCTACCAAGAGACTGTATTTTATCAGCGTCTTCATCAATCAGAACTATGTCATCTGAGTAGTCTAAGCCGATAAGCGAGCCTCCTGCAAAGAGATGAATTCCTGAAAATTCAATCGACGAGGATTTTATTCCCAGCAATAGGTTTATGGTGAAATTCAACACAAATGGAGATAGTGGACAGCATTGTCGGACACCACATGAGGTTGCAAGATCGGATGACAGTTATCTGTAAGCTCTGGATCGACTTGTAGTGTTGAAATAAAGAGCCTTTACAAGTTTTATGCACATCTGAGGTACACCTTTCAATGACAGACACTGACACAGAACCTCAATCTACAGAATCGAATGGAGCTCCTAAGTCAAGAAAGACCATAATTATCGGACGCCGATAAGCATGCCTGTGTCCCAAGATCTGACGAATAGTGAATATGTGGTCGATGCAGCCACGATCAGGTTTGAAGCCAGCCTGATTTTTTCGTATATGCAGTCCACGAGTCTTTGTTAGGCGTCCGATAACTATTAGAGCTAGTATTATAGACGCTATATCAGTTAAACTAATCCCTCTAAGGTTATCACAGGATGATTTCAACCCCTTCTTATATATTGGGACGATAAGTAATTGTGACCAGTCAGATGGGATAACGTCCAACTCCCAGATTTTAGCTAAAATATTAGTCAACCTATACATCACATCGCATTCCTTCTTACACAGGGAATAAGCAATACGACTGCTCACATTTGTGAGCAGAGCTGACCATCTTAAAATTGAACTAAAAATGGTAACACAAAAATAGATATGTAAAAAAATTTCAAACCTTAACTGAATAAATCAAGTCAAAGTCACCCAAGTATCCAATAAATGCACAAAAGCAAAGTCAATAAATTCAACTGAGAGAGAGTAGTTTTGATGCGTAATTGACGATCAAAACAGTAAACTTAACTCAACGAGGAATAACACCACTATCTTTTAAACAGCTAAGTTATAGTACGGAAAAACGACAAATCTTAAGATTTGGCTCAGAGTAAATTTATAAGCAGCATAAAGGTCTAGTAGAGAGAAATCACATGTATTAAAATGTTCAAAAAATGTTGAATTTACACATTAGCAAGCCGAAATCAACATGATTTGAAGGATTAATTCCTTTGAATTTGACTGTGTTTTAGTACCTAAGCTGGTTTACGAAGTATTTCGGACAGAAAGAAGCTGATTTTAAATAGGGGTGACTGTATAACATGGATATTCACAAACGAATTTCTGGCAATACTCACAAATATAACAGATCAAGGACTACAGACCCCAGTTTCAAACAACCCGGAGTACGCGGTGCCGCCGTTGTTTATCATTCTTTTCAAGAGCTTACTATTAGTGACCACAAATTAGTATTTAAAAATTCGTGATCGAAACCTGGTATAAATTTTTTTGCTTCATTTGACTGTCTCAACTGTTAAAAAATACTTTATCGAATCTATCTGTCAATATCGTTCCGCCTTATTCACACCTTCCACGTGATACTTCCACACTCACAAAGTATTCTTTATGGTAAGACAGGGGGTAGATAGCGACCATTGACCCACTGGGACTTGACATGTTGATCACAATACACTCAGCGACCAGAACTAACTTTTATCAGTCACGTATGAAAAGTTAGAATCAATGCAATTACTGAGTTCCTGAATTTAAAAATGTCACGCCACGGTTTTCAAATTCGTCCTCGATGATGGAAACGTTTTTATCTTTTAGTCAGTCGGTGGAAGAGTATCATTCGTTAGTTCCATCTGTTTTGGCCCAATAAACTTTATGAAATTTTCAGACAACAAAAAATGAGTCACATGTTTAGCGGCGTTTCTTTCGAGTCAACTTCTATGAACAGGTTGGTCTGTATGACACATGTTCAAACAGTTATATAAATTGAGAAATAGTTCTATTGATATCACGAGCTAACCTAAGTCAAACAGCCTTTGAAAATCTCGGAACACTGGTTAAACGTTCTACCATAGTCCGTAACTTTACAGCAACGCACATCTACGACGGTGTCATCACGGGCCAAGCTAAGGATCTTCCGTCTCTCGACGTACTGCTTAAACTTTGAACTACTGGTCAGGATTCAGTTGATGTACGAATTTAACTTCTGTCAGCTCATGACAGCACGCGACCGTATTTCGTTGACTTTGTTGAGTAGCTTTCCCTTACTTGATATGGTCTACCTCCACCGGTCTCGGCCTTTAACTAAGAGCACAGATTTTGTCACGAAGCGAATCGCTAGAGAGCATATGTTTCTCTGTTTCTAAGTTTTTTCCACTGTAGACTAGTTCGTGATCTTAAAAAGCATGGCATTCTCTACAATTTTATACGTGAAATTATTGAAACGGGTTGCAGAGTAGATTCAGTGTATAGTGTCATCCGATGTAATAAAAAAAGCTGAAAATATAAAAAGCTTATATTTACCCTAGTTATTCCTTTTTAACTATCACATGTATTATTGAGTTAATTAAAGCAAGACCACCACGGAAATTCTGGAAGCACTTTACGACCGTTTCATTCTAGTGTGAGACCCATCAGCAGTGCTCGTCCACGATCCCGCCCCGCGAGAGTCAAACCCTGAACCTTCAGTCTCACGCGCAAACGCTTTACCTATATACCACTGGGCAGGCATCCAACGGTGTTAATGTCTAACTTCAATTAATCCACAAAATTGTCCCACCGTCCACTGCTTCCAGCTTTTCCATGGTGGCCCGGCTTTAATTGACTCATGGTTTGGAAATAGTATTAGACTACTTGCGTGGTCATTTGTAAGATTGAGGAATAGTTCTAGATTTCACAGGGAATAAGGGCTTATGCTTGAACGTTTGCTACTAACTTATAATACTCGTTAAGACAAGAAAGATCAGCACGGGATATGAATTGATAGTTGAAAACTGAGTATCTGAAGTTACTTGCAACTGCGTTCAGTTAGGAGAAATGGACCATAGCACGCCAAAATTTCACCCTCCTGAAATACGGATTCGCCCCTTGAAATAGTATAAAAAGATCAATATACAAATATATGGCGCAAGATCACCGCCTTTTTTCTCCCTTATTATCGTTCTTTTGAGTCGGACGAAAAAATAAATAAAAATGAAATGACTGTCTGATAAAAACGGTTAGAATTTTACCGTTTTGTTCGCGGTTTACGAAATATACAGGAAGAAAACATAAATATGTACTTGTAGGTATAACGCAGCTGTTTTGGAGCACCAGAAAAATTACAAATCCAACACGATGTTGTAACGCACAAAAAATAAGTGAAGTGGTTGGAAAGTTGATAGAACTAGTTCTCGAAAAGCGGTCTTCCAGGTTCTTTTGAAGGTAATGTCTTTCAGAACGTGTTGAAGTTTGCCAATCTTCAGAGACTACGGAAGTTTCACGATTCTTATTGTTCAATAAAGGTTGTAATTAAACTTCCATGTCGATATTAGTGGCGCTACTGTAAGATCGATGAAGAATCGCTTGTTTTACAAGTGTGAGATCTCCATTTGGTTAGTGATGATGACGTCGGGCTCCGCTCATATTCAAGGTTGTAATGTGGAACCTATCAGAGTCGTTCTTAGGTATCATCGTACAGTGGGTCCAATCAGTCCTGGCGTTCAAAAACATGTGCTCTGCCTCGTGAGGTTGGCTAAGTTGAAACGTCAGTTCAGACCCGTATTCATTGAAACTGAGTATTTAGAATTCTCCAGATGGTCCCAGAGTTGTTTTGTTATTAATTTCAACTTCAGATTCACTTGATTTCCCTCGTATATTTGTTTTTTGTCTCCCCTATTGGCCGGGTGATTTGAAACGTTTTCATGCATAAACATGAGAACGTATGCTGTGTTCTACAAGGGATACCTCAAACTCTTGATAGCTAGTTTGTGGAGCATGATTTGCCTGATATTCAGAAGGCACTTAAAAACAGTATGATTTCTCATTTACACACACTGACCTATTTACAGGCATTAAAATACCAAAGTGTGAAATATGATATTGTTCCTTTATCTCCCTTATCTAAGTACCGGTTGTGTAAGTTTATGAAAGTTTTCTGTTCAATACCTCGGGTTTTGTATTGTGCTGTAGTAGTCTGTATTATTATAAAGTACCATGAACACTTGAGATTTTCAGATTACTTAACACAACGTGAAGTGATCTGGTGCAAATGAACTTGAGAACATTCCACTAAGGGGAACACTGTATTTTTCTCTAAGGGTTTCAATGATTTTCTTCGTGTTTGAAAAGTAAAATTTTTCACAAACTACCACTACTGATTAGAGCACTGGTTATTTCTCCTAAGCTTGTATTTGGACTGGAAAAATCTCTATATGTAAGACTGGTCATCATAGTAATCATAAAAATTTTCGGAAACGACGATCAAGTAAACCGAGTCTCCGGGGTCAATAACTGGAACGCCGTTTCAGGATAGACTATAGAAAACAACCTCTACAGATGCATTTGCGCTTCGAATAGGAATTTTCATAGTATATGTGCGAAGTTATATAATTATGGCTTAGTATATGAAGTCCTACACTTCCCGTAAGTTTTTTCTCACCTGTAACGGTCTGGGTTTCCGAGTAGTGTAGTACGGCTAAAACCTGAGTTCATAATACCTTAGTCAGTGATCAGGTTCCATCTGCTTACTGGTGCTGACATGTTTCCTCTCGTTCTACACGTGTTTCAATGTTAAGATGTTGAAGCAGTAACATTAGCATAACAGACGACGCTGCATGTATATCAGTTAATAGTAATCGATATTGTCGGGATTTAAGTAGGTTGGCTGTGCTTATATTCACTGACCACTAAACCACCTCTTCTCGGTAGCCTCTAAAAACCTTATTCACCTGAAGAAACAGGTTTTCAATAAATGTTTACACCTGGATTCTCGGGTTGCTTTGATTTGCTAACTCACTGGTAAAGTATGGAGATGGCGCACTTTAGTGAGCGGTAGGCCCCTTCTAGTTTTCTGGATAATCCATTATTTTCACCATTCGTAATATCACTAGGTAAACAATGAGTTTATAGGTGTTTCATCCCTTTAAGACCATTCAAACAGCAAGTTTGTTAAGGTCTTTTTATTTCGATGTTGTGTAGATGTCACTTTAACATCGAAAGCACCCAATCTGCGTCTGTTCCGACCGTTGTTGCTACCTTGACGTGGTGGTCGGGCTTGCTTATCGTGATGAAGCAACCGAGCTATACTGGCTGGAACAATCGCTCCTCAAAGTTTTACCATGTCAGACAGGTCGGTTGAAGAGCGGTAAGACTAAAAGCAACAAACCCAAGGTCCGAAGGCGAAGTCGTACTGCTGACTGTACCGAGGTGTGACAGCAGTAAGGTGTTTCCTTCAGACAACCAGCTTAACAGCGATGCTGCCTTCCCACAAGGAGGGGTGGGGTTGGAAAAGCTCGACCCTAAAAATGCACACCGCCTTATCCCACGGATATCCGTCTCCGGCGGTATGGTCTCAGCAAGTACGGAGCTAACACAAAAATTACTCGTAAAAAAATCGTGTGTGACTAACCTCAAGCAGTTGTCCCTTGAGCACTGCGGTCACGCTCTCAGATCACTAAGACCACCCCTAATCCAATTTCCTTTTCAGGTACCTCCAGAAGAACCCTTCCACGATGTGGGCGACCGAGAAGTGATAACCGCCCTCATACCTCTAACAGCACTCAAGACCACTGTATTCATAATCAAAACCCTTCTTCGATTCCTGACTGAATCTGCGTGTGTGAATTAGGCATAGGGCGCCTCTGGTCCTCCATTAGTGGGAAGAGTCAGCTCTTCCACTCAAGATGCTTTCACATGGCCACGTGTATACAACCAGTCAGAGAAGTTCTACTCACTGCTTTCTTGCGGCATCACCGTTGTTTACGAAATTGAGAGAACGAAAAGCGAATGTCCGACGCTTTGACCGGGTTGGTGGATATAGAGAACCCACCTAGGGTAGTTAGAAAACCCTTATTCCGAACCGATGGTGCATATTGGCTCCAGTATCCTGAAGGAACGAATAGCGTATGAACCAATTGTTGGTCACAGGTTACCATGGGACTACATCTCCTTACGTTGCTTCACTGCCTTGTGGATTAGACCTTTAGGTTGAAGTTTCGGAGTGTGACCCCCTGAGAAAACCACCTGTTTCAGTTCAAACACCTGGGTAGTATCCCAGCCGTCACACATCGAATTATTTGTGCTGCATATCTGTTTGGTGCCTTCTTGTGCCAATGTTTATGTGTCTGTAGATATCACCTTACTATGTGATATCAGAAATCGTTCACTAATAAATAGTACAATTATTTCATTAAAATATAGAGTAGTGGCTTAATGGTCGGTATCTCATTTCCAACCATCATGTTACAGGTATGGGTCCTGCTACATCGACTTCAGTCTGGTCGGCATGGTGTCGTCGTTAGTTTACATGTAGTGTGATTAAAAGCTTGATAAATGACTTACATCTTATATCATTTTCTGAATATTTAAGATGATCCCTGTATTTTGTTAATGACAAGAAATAAAATTACCGATTAAAATGTTTTATAATTTCGGACGTATAAAAGTTCTAACTTTATTTCTTTCCTTCAGGTACATTAAGACGAAAAGTTATGGTATTAGATTTGGATGAGACACTGATTCATTCAGTACACGATGGGATAATGCGGCCAACGGTCAGACCAGGAACACCTCCAGATTTCGTTCTCAAAGTTTTTATTGACCATCATCCCGTTCGCTTCTCCGTTCATAAACGACCGCATGTTGATTTTTTCCTCAATGTGGTAAGTTTTTTAATATCAGATTTTGTGTTTTTCTCAAAGGCTTCAAAGTAACGCATTTATATCCTAATTAACGTTTATTTTCTTCACTTATCAGCTAAATGCATGTAAGTAGGTCTATATCAGTTTCCAAATACCTAGTTTAAGTATCCTTAAAGGTATTACAATTCTATGAGTCATACTGTGATTTATGATACTAATGCTCAAACTATTTTTTCCTGCTATATGTGTATACTAAGTCGTGTTATTAAAGTTAGACAACTAAGATGTTTATGTTAGTCCAGACAACATAGGTCTCACTTGATCTGTTCTCCTAGATAAGTTTAAGGATGGAGCTGCTGTCACCTTTGAAAATGGGGTATTTTAATTATTAGGGGACTCATTACGACTTTTGGCATCCTTATATGTTTTTGATATTGGTAGAGAAGTAGGCAATGTTATGATAATACCGATGTGGTTAATAAGTAATCCAAAAAACTGTGATTAGTCCACTTCGGATCCTTCTATATGATAACAGCTTTATCTGAATAAAGTACCACCCGAAAGCCTGAAAATTCTGAAGACAGTTCCCGTCAAGTTTGCTTAAAACTTCAGAAAAGAATTACCTCTGTATTTACGATATTTGAGCTTTAGACAAACTGTTACTGTACTCAGTATTGTAAACGCTTTGACATAAATTATCAAACGGCATGTATCCTGCCCAAAGTATTCTAAGAGTGCGACTGTAGAACCACTTACCATCCAGTTGTTTTGAAGTGTTTTATGGTCCGTTGTGGGTTTTTGATCGACGGTGAATAATTATGTAATTATCCCCACATCACTGACTAGTAGGGATCATAATGCTCTTGACAGGACTTGTTAGCATTCACTAATTATCGGTCTGTTTGAAACCTTACAATATTCCCTGCATTTCGTTTTACTTTCCATGTCTTCATGCTATCTGCGTGTGGCGAAACTGATAACTTCGGAAGCTTTAGGTAGGTCAATTAATCATAAAACGTGAAATTAAGATCAAGATTGTCCCCGGAATTCTGTATAACATGGGTTTTGAGCCTAAAGTCTTCTTTGTCCCCACCTAACTAAGATATTTGTCCATGCAGGTTCTTTTTTGCTTCAGGTCTTACTTCTCTTTGTATTTATTTTATTTATTATTTGACCACATAAACATGGGTATAAGGGGCACCAAATACATATGCTCCACACAGTAACAATGAGACCAGCAGTAGTTATCATTAATTTGTGTGAGAGTCGTGATACTGCTCGGCTGCTTAGACTGAAGCAAGTGGTTTCCTTAGGAGGCCACTCCCCGAGCCTTTGGCTTAGATGTTTAATCCACAAGACAGATAGTTCACAAAACTTTCGATTGTAATGACTAAGAGATTTTTTGTGGTCACCGATTTTGTCAATGGATAATTTAAAGGTTCCCAGTGTATTTCCTCCTGACTTTGACCACGTCAACTTTTATCGTAAAAAGTTTAGGTATGTAACTGATTAAATTCCAATTGATTTGTCGTTCTGTTACTTGCCGCATAATTGATTGATTAAATTATTATGAACATTCTTACCCCCTACTAAAACTTAAGTAATATTTACGAATTCTGAATTTAATAGCCTGTTCTAATTTTGATGATTCTCTTTAGATAAGCCAGTGGTACGAACTTGTAATATATACAGCTAGTCTTGAAATTTACGGGGCAGGAGTAACTGAGTTGCTCGACAATGGACGCCATATTCTTCAGAGACGATTTTACAGACAGGTCGGTTATTGTTGAGGAAATTATTTCCATTTCAGCGTTACGTCCATAATTGCTTGTTCGGTAATACAATTAGTGTAAAATTTAAAATAAATTCTATTCTTCTTGATATCCATCAAAAGATGTGGGATCAAGTCCTCTTTCAAGATCTATAAATCGACAACATTGTACAAATAGATATATAAGTTGCAAATATTGATCTATTTGGCGAATTATTCCTCAGTGGAGGATCTATACTTCTATCCTATAAATACTCAGTCCTAAAGATTATTAGGATCGATCCCATATGATCTCTAGGATAGTATCCCTCATTTCGAACTCTGAAGAGTTTGCGTGAAGTGTGATCACATGTGGAGTTGAAATCAGCCAAGTACCATCATTCTCCTACAATATCGCTTATATTCTACATGTATGTTAGATTAAATTGTTACCATGTAGTATTCCTGATTTCAATTTTTCTTAAGATGATCATTCGTGCTAATCACCAACCCAATCAACAAAACCACTTTTTTGTCTAAGACTTTCCCATCCCACAATAGTCGATTACAAAACAAGATTATAATAGGTTACAATCGTCTTGTATTTATTGTCCAGTCACCTCGTTTTTGAACAAAGAACTCTGAAAAACAGTTGAAGGAGAACAACCAACGACATAGCCTTATGTTGCCAACTAGGAATGTTTAGAGCATTGGAATGCTGGATTTAAGTTTAAATAGTTATAATCTAAATGAAAGTAACAACCTTGGAGAGTATGAGTTATCTAATTTTGTGTGAATCTGGTAGGCACGTTATGATTATGTTATGTCTATGTTACCTTTTTATCCATCTCAGATAAGTTAATTGGTGTGTGTTTACTTGACCTGTACTCAGCCAGTATAAACGTTTGAACATAAATTAACCACCCTAACATAATACCTTTCTTTCGTAGTCCATTCTATACGATATCTGTGGACTTATTGTCTTCAGTTATGTTTAATGAGAAATAAAAATAAAAAGGTAGCAGTTAAATAGAAAACAACCAGTTTGTTGTACTTACGAGTTCTCAGGTCATTTGTGAATCTAAATTGCTGATAATAAATGTCTATATTTCTCATAGAGGTTTTCTGCACTGTAGAACAATGTAATGAAAACCCAATGTTACTAGGAAAACCAGAGCTTCTACGTGTCATTTTACCATTGAATGAAATTAAACCAACCGTTCAAGAATTGTCTACGTTCGATACATAAAAAGTTTACAATAAGCATTTTAGACTCCAATTAAGACAAAAAATGTAATATTTCTGGTCATCCGGTTTCATAAGTTACTCTAGGATCATATGTCTATCTTTAAGATAGATGTAAGACTGAAAGCCATAATGTTTCGGTGTTAATAAATGTAAATCGTTTGCTAACTTTAGTGGTTTAGTGATTTGGACCTTAGCACGTTTATGCCAGGTCCTCGGTTGATTATAACTAATTGAATCTCTCATTTCTATGTTGTTGAATGTCTTGGCACCTTAAGGAAGCGCTTATTTGATGTTTTTTTGTTTATCTACTGTTTTAGCATTGTACATATGATAATGGCAGCTATTCAAAGAATCTTTCCCTAATTACCTCTGATATGGCTTCTGTATTCATATTAGACAATTCTCCAGGGGCCTATCGATCATATCCTGGTAATTTTGTGTAATTTATTACCATATTTCAACTTCATCTGTTGTCTAGCTTGTTTTCGAAGGAAATTTAAGGTCCTTTCAAATTTGAGTCGTTGTTAAACGTTTGTTTGATAATTTTTGCAATCTGACTTCACGTCCGTGTCAGACAATTTTTATTTTCCACATATGAAGAGTCGGTTAAATAACCTGTAGTTGAGTTTCGTCCATCTATTAACAACGGGACAGTGATAACAAAGATTGCTTATATTGATGTATTTCACCCCAATTTTTACTAGGAAAAGATATAACTCGTTGCACCATGATACAACCTTCTAGAAGTAAGGTTCTTCTGATTATATTCAATGACTAACCTCAACTAATCAATGCATATACATTATCATGTTAGTGTTATAAACTTCAGTAATGCGAAATAATTACTATACGCACTGTCGCTGATGGCAAGCTAAGCGCAATGTATGTAATGAGTATATTATCACAGACCGATGAAAATGATGTTATTAAGCCCCCCACTCCCACATTGTGTTTATTCAAAGAACTTTCAGTATGTTGACGATTGACTCAACGATACTTTCATTTGTATCCAGTATCAGAAGACAGTTCTGTCCAACAAAAGTAAAGCGACTCTTATATCAAATAACAATCACTGCATGAGTGTTATCAACCACCTTGTGAAGGGTTAGTGTTTTTTTGGCGAGTTAGTTTTCTACGGGATGGGGTCGTTAACCCCATGCCCAACCTTCCTCCTTTATCCGGGCCTGGGACCAGCAGTAGCCCTCAGAGGGGCTCCAGGCGTAGTTGTAATGAATGTACACAACATTTAAATGAAATACTCTCTGTTTTTCGCTGGTAGTCTTTCACGCGTTTCTCACAGATCTGCACTGTATGACGAAAGTAAATATTTCAGACAATTTATATCAAATCCCTACCCTTTTTAAAACGAATGCGACAAAGGTCTAATTATAGCTAAATATATACTCCTAGGTTTATACTTTTGGAAATGTAAGTACAAACTGCTAATCACACATAAACTTCAATGATTTCATTTCAACGTACCAGATATTTTCAAATGACCAAGTCTCTTCCTCGACAGAAATATATCCATCTTTGTAAAAAAAAGCTTGAAAATGGTTCTTCAGTTCCGATGTACTGTACCATCTTATTGGTTGAAGCTTTCTCTAAACACTTGCATCATCGAGCATAATAATGTTCAGCTGTCAAACATGCTCAACATATTTTGACCAGAGTTGTTACGACGGTAAATCAGTTAAAATATCTTTTGAAGTCTTTTACTCAGCTTCCCAAGTATATTTAGTTGTCATCTATCACTGTGCCGTCAATCTCAGAAGTGAATTAAGAGAGTGTCATTACAAACACTTTATTTGTTACGGTCATTTGATAAATAAGTTCAGAGTGTATTGTTTGGATATAGGGATAAAGTTATTTCGTTGGCAAAAGTAACTATGCCACTATAGCTTCAATCTACGTTATGATAACGGTTGGTTACATATCATTGTTAACACCTATACGTTCTTCTAAAATTGATATTTCTACTGCTTTGTTTGTTTTTCAGTTAAGAAATATTAATATGCTTATATCATTATTAGAAATAGTTTGAATTATCTTGTTGATATTTAGGACTGGATTTTGATCAGTATTTGTTGGTGTATGTGCATCATGTATGGATTGCCTCGATACAAACATGATGACACAAGTTATTCATTTTAGATTAATTGTTGTTAGTAATGAAATCCTAGTGTGAATATCAACGGTAGGATGCTGTCCATCCATCTGACGAGTCCCAAACAGGACGAAATGTGGGTCCTTGATCCAACTCCTAGTCACAACTCATCTGTTTTATCAATATTCTTTTGTAGGTGTCATTACCACGGTTTGATTTGATAATTTCGAACAAATTGAGCATTACACTAAGTCACGAAACGTCAGAAAATCCTATTTTCTACTCATTGGGATATTACAAATATATTATTTTTATTTATAATATTCTTTTGGTTTATTTATTTGCTTAGAGTTATTGGACTTTTACTAGTCATTGTCTCTTTGTCGTGTAGTAGTAGTCAAATGGCTCGGCTTCCATTCACTAAGTCTCAAGTTCGTACCCCGCTCTACCCACATCTGTTTGGGTAGCTGGGTTGTATCATTAATTCTTACACCTTGAGTGGCTTATACTCAAATACCTAGTGAATGAGTCGATTTAATAAATTTATTTTTATCTCTTATTTTGATGCTTATCCATCTTTATTTTAATACCTACAGATAATGCTATTCCGATTCGGTCGTGGTTTTCCGATTCACGTGATACAGCCCTTCTATGTTTGCTACCAGTACTGGATGCTCTTAGGTTTGTGAGCGATGTACGTTCAGTACTAAGTCGTAATTTACACAGGCCCCAATCCATACTACCTTAACACTAACACATACATACATGTTCTTTTGTCCAAATACCTGATTACCTTTTTGTTTGACCAGATTTTTTAGGTTCTAATTATTATTAATACTTAGTTGTATATTCGACTTCACAACTCTCATTTCAGTTAAACCTTTCTAGTGCGTTAATCTTTATACTTAGAATTTTATCAGACTATATAATGTGTACATGTTTTCTAATTTCATTAGGGCTCCCTATCTAATAGACTCAGTACTGTGTTTTGGATTATTATTCTCAATATCTTTCTGTGTTTGCTACGTTTTTATTCATGTTTTAAAGCTTTATAATCTTTTTGTCTCCAGTCCACTGTATTGTCTGCACAACCCTACTCTATTTTGCATCTGTTGTTTGATTCCAGTTAATGAATAACTTTAGGGAGGTGTTGTGCAAATTAGTATGTATACTCTACTTTTTCTGTGTACGCCTCAGTTAATATGAAATAGGTACAATTGATTTACTAATACACTACTAGAATAACATATTCTATTGTCCTTGTGAGCTAAAATTGTATTATATTTTGAATACTTTGTTTCTTATACTTTTCAGTATTATACCTGTTGTTATCTTAAGAATTCCCTTCATGTCTGATTCCAGTCTCTCTATTTTCTCCTTTTTCTTCTAATGATAAATACAGTTATTTAAACTTAATTATTACCTCAATTCTACCAGCTTTCTTGTGTGTGTAAATAATAAATATACAATTTATTTCTTACTGTAAATTAGCTTTCTTTTTGCGGACATATTTAAACTATACGTTGGAGTGGCCTAACGGTCTAAGGCGCCAGACTCAGTAGTGTTCTTCTGGGTGTTCTGGTCCACGATGTGGGCGTTGTTTCGAATCCCACCCTCGACACATACTTGCCCCCAAATGCCCTGGTACGACCGAGGGTGGGGAGAGTCAGCTCTTCCTCTCGAGACGCTCTCACATGGCCACGTGTATACAACCACTGTCTGAGAAGTTCTACTCAATGCCTTCTCGCGGCATCACCGTTGTTTACGAAAATGAGAGTTAGAAAACCCTTATTCCGAACCGATGGTGCATATTGGCTCCAGTATCCTGAAGGAACGAATAGCGTATGAACCAAGTGTTGGTCACCGGTTACCATGGGACTACATCTCCTTACGTTGCTCCACTGCATTGTGGATTAGACCTTTAGGTTGAAGTTTCGAAGTGTGACCCCCTGAGAAAACCACCTGTTTCGGTTCAAACACCTGGGCAGTATCACAGCCCACACATAAATCGAATGACTTGTGTTGCGCATTTGTATTCGGTGCCCCTTTATACCAATATTTATGTTCAAGTAAAAACAAATAAACTATACACATTTCGGATTATTACAATTCCCGGTTGGTTTCGTTTATAAGAAAAATGCAAAATCTTATCATAACCATAAGATAACTAGTTTAACCTAAAGTTTCTACGTTCAAATTAATTTTGAGAAGCATAAGACGAGATCTTAAAACTGATCTTGTTTGTATCAACAATGTTTATGACACTTAATTTCCAAAAAACATTACTGTTCACTATGGCTCAATAGCATTATGTAATTCTATGAGTCTAAAGGTTTTGTTAAGCTTACTCTAAATGTTAAAAATTTTATAGGTAAGATTTTTTGGGTTATACACTTTCCCCTTTATATTCATCATTGAGTTTGAACCGTCTGTCCACCCCCCCCTCTAGTCAGTGTTAGTTAAATTCGAAATTTAAATAACAATGCCTAATTACTACATTATTTGGCTCCTGAATGTATTGTTTATGATTGCTTTATATTGATCGTATTCTGTGTTTGTGTGTACTCTGAATATCTTATTCATCTCACTTACATGGAAAATAGTATCTGCTCTACATAATTATTGATCAACAAATTTTACCCATGAAGATACAAAGCGGAATTAGTGTATGTGCATGCATGCATCATATGTCATTCAGTCGATTGGATGGAACGGCCAGACTAATATTCTATATTGCACTACCTGTTTTCAATACATATAAGGATACCCAATTTTAAGCAATTTGAGTCTTACAGTATTGTTTTCCAGGTAGAAGTGTATCGGATATTTTATAAAACTGTTTATGATTGGTTAATATTTGTTGTTTCATGGCATTATAGATTTGGAATTAATTGAGTGTGACTAATTTCCATTTGTTAGAAGTTTATCAGAAACATTAAGGTGGATAGTTAGCTATCTTATCAGATTCTAACTATCCACTTCATCCATGTCTTTCTCCTTGTATATCCTCTGGTAGAACGTGACGTCAGTACTTTAGAATCTATGCACTCAAACAAAGGTATAAAAGCTCTACAACAACTTATCTAGTAAATATACTATGCGACGAATAGGTTGTTAGAGTTGACCTATCAATAAATTATATTCTTAAACATGTTTCTAATTATATAAAAAAGTTGTACAGATTCAAATCTTCTTTAAAAGAAAACATTCCATTTAATTCCAAGTAGTTTATCTACTTAACTTATGTATATATGTATGCACTTATCAGTTCCTTTCATTTTTCCCCTTTTTTGTAAACGAAACTTGTTGAAATATCTTGTACTGAGAATTCTATATTGTACCAAAAATATAATATTGAATAAAGTCAATAATAATCCCGCTAGATTTTGATTTCGTTTGATCAATGTGTTGTACTGGTGCCAAGGTTTGACTTCGTGCAGCATATTATTCAGTAAGATAGTATGCCGAGGCTACCCAAAAACTATGAAAATCATCACTGCCATGTTACCTTACATAGTCATTAACTATCTGAATTATTAATAAATAAATAATATATTAGTAATATCCCAATGAGTAGAAAATTAGATTTTTGACGTTTCGTGACTTAGTGTAGGTTACTTCTTCATAGAATAAATAACCAAATTAAAATTAATCCAAGTATTTCAATTGGGTTATTTATTCTCTGAAGAAGTGACTTACACTAAGTCACGAAACGTCAGAAAATCTAATTTCCTACTCATTGGGATATTACAAATATATTATTTATTTATAACAATCTACCCAATGCTCAATTTATTCGAAATTATTAAATCAAACCTTGGTAATAATACCTATCTGAATTATTGTTTATAACTCCCAATACTAGACACTGCAAAACTTGAACTGCTTACTACCACTTACTGGGGCCTTTTATCAGTCGTTGTTTAGATCGGACGATGTTGTCGAAAGGGCTCTCCACTTTAGTGGCCCGAGATCTGAATCCAAGGAGATTGTAATGATGATTGTTGTTGAAATATATATGTCGCCTATCCTCGTATACAATCATCGACTTAAATCGCGTTAGTCAATAACGGAATTAAATGAGTCAAATAACAAGAATGGACTTCTGATTACATATGTTTTGTATATAAAGCGAACGGAGTAGAGAAGGCAAACGACGCGCAGTGGAGATGGCTGGTAAGCCAACTCCCGTTTAACCAAGCGTTAATCAATATTTATAGTTACACAAAGTAAGTTACAGACATGTGATGAGTAATGGGATAAGAAATGTACACACACATACGTCCTCACATAACAGTCAAGATTGATAAGCGAATAAATAACAAGGTCAAAATGTGACTTAAGTAGAATGAACAGATTGAGCTGTCCGTAAGCTAGAATAAGGTATATGGGCTTAGCATAATAACCTACACTACACACTTCTTTTGAGATGAAAGATTTTACGTCTGCTTATTTCTTTTGTGTATTGCAATCATGTTGTTTTCTCGTTCACTGCATATTTGAATTTTTATTAATATTACGGTGAACGAGAACACAAGTGGAGACAGTCGAGTGTATTTGAACACAAAATTACAGTATCTTATAGTAAAATCTGAGTACCATAAGGTAAATACTTCATTTACAAAAGATTAATCAATTGTCTCAAACTTTATTGTTCCTTCATTTTCACACTAATCATTGTCTGTTCCTGTTCTCTTTTCTTCGATCTTCTGCCTCCAGGTATTTCATTTTCGATTGATGATACTGCTTATACCTATTGACATCAGTAGCATACACCACACAAGTATTGATGAAATAGATATAATGTATAGACCAGTCAAATCCAGAATTCATGTTTCGTCCTATTTAAAACACGTTAGCCGGATGTGCGAATCATTATAAATTAAATTATAATTAAAGCATGAATAAATCACATCGAATATTTAATAATTCTAACAAATGTGCTAGAAGACAAAATAAAAGTTGAGAAACAAAGATAACATTGTAACCATAATAAGCAAATAAATGTATGGCATTTGTAGGTAAGGACCATGATAAATGTATTTAATAGACAAAAATATTTTCAGTTTAACATCTTAAATAAAGTAAAAAAGTACTCTTGAAATATGTATTAAATACAGCAGTACATTGTCACTATCTCATCACTAACTAACTCCGTGATTTAACTGAGATCGATAATGTGGACCCTTAAATTCACGTGTTTGATCTATGATTGTGTCATGAGTATGCACTGTTGTGAAAATCCGTTCTTGGATGTTACAACTAATCCGTTGATTCGTGGTCCTCACTGATTTTCTAGATAAGGTCATCCGAATAATTTCTTTATTAAAACTTGTTTGTCATTAATATTCGAATCATAATAACTATCATGATTGATTTGAATTTGTCACTTAAATAGTATTTATTTCACGCTTATACAAAACGTCTGTTTGATCTAAATAGCACGGTGAAATCAATCTTACGGAATGTAACCGTTCTAAAGATTCGTACGATCTACTGATTTTTCATTTTTGAGGAGATAACACTACATGTTATAAATGAATCGTAATAGCAAATGTCATCTGATAGGTTTTTTCTGGGTTTACTAAGTACTCTCAGTCTAGCGGTAAATTTTTCAGCTCTGACTTCAACCTTGCTAATGGTTGTTGTAAAATGATAGTTTCTTATTTAAAGCATGACTACCTTAGACGTTACATATAATGTATTTTAATTTGGCTTGGTTCATCTAAATTACACTTGTGCTTTAACTTCGCGTAATACTTCCCTCATTTGATTAATGAGTTTAGTCAGGTATCCATGACCAACTAAGCATTTAAAACAAATATACATCCGTCAAAGTTCCTAGATTACCCCAAAGACGAAGAAAGCTGACTCGATAAAATTCACAGGAGTTGGAGAACCGAGGAACGTGAAGTATGAAGTATTGTTGAAACAGCATCTAAAGGAAGGCAAGAAGTGAATATTGTTGTATCAAGAGATATTACCTGAGATCTTCGATTACTAATTATGATTCTCGCATGAACCCCAACCAAGAAATATGAACTTTCTGACAACTCAGTCAAGCGGTTAATAACTTAGTGAACTGATGTCATGTCTTCTTCCAACCTACTGTAATCAGTCAGTCATTAATAGACCTCTGGCTCAAATTTAAAATATTTTTGGTAGTAATCAATGTTTCTATTGAGAAATAATTAAAATACCCTAATCCACTGATAAAAAGATAGGTGATAGTTTGAGCTAATGAGTAATAACTATTATTCAACTATTAATTAAAACTTAATAGATTGTTGTAGTGTGGTGTCGACTCGCGGTTGACTATGATCACCACTACAAGAAGGTTGCGTACCAAATATCAGAAGGCGATTGAAGGTTGTAGTGATCTCGTGGTATCGTAAGAATACCGAGATCGTACCAAAGGAGTACAAGCGGAATCGCTGAGCAAACGTAAGTACGTGCAAGGTCACACTCAACGGAAGGAAGAATGTCTTTAGTACAGTTAAACAAATAAGTACAGTAAAACAATCACTGGTGCAATTGGTTATAATAATAATATTTTTTTAAACCGATCGCGTTCTCTTGATAAAAATAGGTCACTACAAGATCTTTATTACTTAACATTCTGTATAATATAACAAAAGTAATGATGATAAATATATGTTTTGCTATGTCCCAAAAAGTAGAAAA